CTTACCCAGCATGACATCCTTCTCCAGTGACTGTTTCCTCCACTGTTGTAGGAGCTTCTAAAAAGATAGTCTTCCCTGGTGTTTGCCCCAGTGCTTGCTTACTATGTTAATGCATGTGTCTTAGCCTTTCTCCATAGAAGAGTCCTGACTTCTAGATCAGCTTCACTCTTTTCAGAAGACCCACAACTCATTTCTTGAGTTGCTGCTTTCTTTCCTATTCCTGACCTTTACCTCTATTATGTTTCCTGTTTTTCCACTATTGTCTCTGTTTAGTAATTCACATTTCTTCCCCATGCCCTGACAGTTGTGTTTCGAGGTTAAATAAGAGAACCCAGATTATAAGTAAATACTTAATATATAATGGAATAAAATGCTGGAAGATATGCCAACAGTATTTTAAATATGAGCAGGATCACCCTTCGTGGGTAAGTTTTTGCAGAGCTTCTAGACTAAGAAAGACTCAGAAGAAGAGGCAGACCACTTCTGAATGATTAATATTGAAAACTTTATGAATGGCAGCAGAATATTGTCAGATATAGGGCCTGAAGATGTGTCCCTCTGTTTAGAAAACACTCAAAACAGATTGTGGAAAAGCTGTATTTTCAAAGTAGAGTTGACCTTAATAATGTGAATGGAGTAAAACTTTTGGGATCTTCATTTGATGTTGTGGCACAACTCAAACTGGTAAGATTTGGCTGTAAACATCCAGTAATAATCAGAACTTGAAATGTACTAAGCTGAATTGAGAAAAATTAAAAGTCACCAAAACTGGAATGCATAGACATCTATATTCTAGGCATTAGTGAGCTAAAATGGACTGGTACTGACCATTTTGAATCAATCAGTTTACTATGCAAGAAATAACAAATTGAAGAGGCATGGTATTTCTTATTCTTCGCCAAAAAGAGCAATTCAAGATCTATCTTTAGGCACAATGCTACCCATGTGCCTACAAAGGAGACCAAGGAACTCTGGTAGCATAGTGGGTTATGAGGTCAACAGTTTGAATCTACTAGTTGCTCTGAGACAGAAAGATGGGATTTTTCTGCTCCTATAAAGGTTTACCGTCTAGGGTCACTATGAGTCAGAACCCATTCCACTGCACTTAAGTATCGCTACCACAAGGAAGACCAGTTATTACTACTATTAATCAAATTTACATACCAATCACTAAAGCCAGTGACGATGAAGCTGGAGAATTCTTCAGCTTCTTCAGTCTGAACTTGATCACGCATCCTGTCAATATACAATGATAATTTCTAGTGATTGGAATGTGAAAGTTGGAAACTAAGTGGATCAGTAGTTGGAAAATGTGACCTAGGTAATAGAAATGATGCTGGAGACCATATGATAGAATTTTGGGTGACCAATGACTTATTCATTGCAAATACCTTTTTTCCAACAACATAAAAGACTATACACATAAACCAAACCAGGTGAAATTCACAGGAATCTAATTGACTATATATGTGGGAAAAGATAATGCAGAATATCATCAGCCAAAACAGATCTATGGACAGATCACCAATTATTCATATGCAAGTTCAGGCAGAAGTGGAGGGAAGTTAAAACAAGTCCATGAGAGCTAACATATGACATAAAATATCTCACCTGACTTCAGAGACCATAGCAAAAATAGATTTGATGCACTAGACACTAATGACCATAGACCAGAAAAGTTGTGGGATGACATCAAGAACATTGTCCACAAAGAAAGGAAAAGGTCATTACAAAGACAGGAAATGTTTAAAGAGACCAAAATGTATCTCAGAAGAGACCCTGAAGCTTTCTGTGGAATGTAGAAAAGCCAAGCAACTGGAAGAAATGAAGAAAGAAAAGAGCTGAACAGACGGGGAAGGTTCAGAAGACAAAATCAAATATTGAAATGTGCAAAGACCTGGAATCAGAAAACCAAAGAGGAAAACCATGCTCAGCATTTATCAAGCTGAAAGCACTGAAGTAAAAATTCAAGTCTCAACTTGGTATCAACAGTGGATTGCGAACCACAAGGTCAGTCATTCAAACCTACCAGCTGCTCCTTGGAAACCCTGTACAGGGTGAGCTATGAGTCACAACTGACTTGACAGCACTTAACAACAACAACAACAGCATGGGCAAATAGACTCCTGTCATGGTGCTGTAGGATGAGCACTGGACTGCAAACCAAAAGGTAAGCAATTCAAACCTACCAGCTCTTCCTCAGAAACCCTATACTGAACTGCTGAGTCAGAATTGACTTGATGGCACTTAACAACAAATGGGCAAAATATTGAATGATGCAGGAAGCATCCAAAGATGGAATGCATACATAGAGTCATAGTCCCCAAAATAATTGGTAGATGTTCAGCCATTTCAAGAGAGTAGTACATGATCAAAAACCCAATGGCGTTGAAAGAAGTCCAAGATTCATTGAAGGTATTGGCAAAAAAATAAGACTGCAGGAATTGATGGAATCCAGATTGAAATGGTTCAACAAATGATGCAGCACCAGAGACGATCATTCATCTATGGAGGACGGCTACCTGACGAACTGATTGGAAGAGATTCATATTTGTACCCATTCCAAAGAAAGATGACCTAACAGAATTCTGAAATCATGGAGCGGTATCATTAGTATCACATGCAAGTACAGTGTTACTGAAGAAAATTTAAAAATAATTGTGGCAGTACATCAGAAATTAAAGCTATTTTCAGAAGATGACATGGAGCAAGGTTTAGTTACTGATGTCAGATGTCAGATGGATCTTGGCTAAAAGCAGAGAATACCAGAAAGATCTTTACTTGTGCTTTGTTGACTATGCAAAGGCATTGGACTGTGTAGATCATAACAAACTATGGATAGCAGTAAATATAATGGGTATTCTAGAACATTTAATTGTACTCAACAGGAACCTGAATATAGATGTAGAAGCAGTCATTAGACTAGAACAAGGGGATACTGACTGGTTTAAAATCAGCAAAAATCTGCACCTGGGTTGTATCCCTTGACTCTATTTATTCAATCTGTATGCTGAGCAAATAATTTGAGGAGCTGGTTTTTATGGAAAACAACAGGGCATCAAGAATTGAGGAGCCTTATTAACAACCTGCCATAAGCAGAGAGTGCAGCTTTGTTTTCTGGAAGCCTAGAAGACTTGAAATACTAACTGATGAAGATTAAAGACTACAGCCTTCAGTATGGATTGAATTCAATGTAAAGAAAACAGAAATCCTCACAAGTGGACCTGTGAATACCATCATGATAAACGAAGAACAGAATGAAGTTGTCAGACTTCATTTTGCTTGTATTCACAGTCAATGCTCATGGAAGCAGCAATGAAGAAATCAAAAGATGTGTTGCATTAAACAAATCTGCTGCAATAGACCTCTTTAAAGTCTTTTTTTAAGAAAACCTCTTTAAAGTCCTGGTGTGGCTCTGTAGGATCAGCTGTGGACTGCTAACCACAAGTATGGTGGTTCAAACCCACCAGCTGCTACTTGGAAATCCCATACAGGGTCACTATGAGTCAGAACTGACTCGACTGCCCTTAAAACAACCAAGTATTAAAGAGTAAAGATAAAAGATACCACTTTGAGGACTAAGTTGCGGCTGATCCCAAGCGATGGTATTTTTAGTCACCTCATATGCATGTGAAAGTTAGACAATGAATAAGGAAAACCAGAGAAGAATCTGTGTGTTTCCAACTATGGTGTTGATGAAGAATACTGAAAGTATCACGGAGTGCCAGAAGAGCAAACAAATCTGTCTTAGAAGAAATCCAACTTGCTCTTTAGAAGTGAGGCTGGTGAGACTTTGTCTTACAAACTTTTGACATGCTGTCAGAAAGGACCAGTTTCTGGGGAAGTACATCAAATTTGGCATTGAAAAAGAGGAAGTCCCTCACAGGTTGGACTGACACAGTGGCATCCAAATGGGATCAAGCATCACAATGATAGTGATGATGGTATAGGACCAGGCATTTGTCTGTTGTGCACAGGGTCATGATGAGTCCGAACTGACTCAATGTCACCTAACAACAACTTTTTATGAAAAGTCATTTCTGTATGCTCAAAAGTAACAAAATGCCAACTGATAGCTCTAGAAGACCCTCTTCTTTTAAATTTAATTGCTAACCCTCTTCTTTAAGAATTAATTGCTTCACCTTATATTAATTGTTTCACCTTCTGGTAAGCAGTTACTTACAAGTAGACAAAAGAAATTTAATATCCCATGGTTCACAAAGCTCCTTCAATAAATCTTATGTATTCTAGTTCATTCCTGTTCAACTCTTGAAATTAACTAGGCAAATTACTAACCTAATCAATATTGCATTACACGTAAATTCTGCATGTCATCTTGGAAGATTAAAAGCAAAAATAAAGGTGCACATCACACTTCTTAATTACTTCTTTTTAGAACCTATAATGAAGAAACCTGAACAGTTTCTTGAGATTTCAAGTCCATTTTTGAATTATAGGATGAATCCATTTACAATTCCAACACAAACGTAAGTATATACCATTCTTGTCTGCAAATACTTCTTGCTAGCAAATCAACTGTCTTGTGATATTATGTGTGGCTAAAAATAGCACAAGTAAAAACATTTTGAAGAAAATTAATTTTAAAAAGAGGTCAAATATTTGTATAAGACCTATTAAAGGATATATTCTTTGTTAATCTATAGCTTATGATTTCATTAATTCACATTTAACAAACATTATTTGTTCATCTTTTATGTGTGAGCCTATACATTTCATTAGAAGCCAGAAAGCCTTGCTTTCCTAAGTATTAGTTTCTGGGGGGAACCAGATGTATAGGTAAATAGTTACATTTGTAATAATTACCAAACAAAGATAAATCTCAAATCCTATGTTTGAACCTCAAGAAACCTAATTTGCAGAAATGTTGTTAAGTGATGTTGAATCATCTTCAGTCCATAGGAGCCCTTAGTCCCACAGGGTCTCCTAGACGGTAATCTTTGTAGCAATAGGCCCACGGGTCTTTTCCTGGCATAGCTGCTGGGCAGGTTTGAACCACCAGTCTCTCGGTTAGCAGCAGAGCTTGTGACCATTGCGCCCCCAGGGCTCTATTCAGAACTAGTTGTTGTTGTTAAATGACTGATTCATAGTGCCCCTGTATAGGATTTCAGTTTTTACTCCTGACCTTATAGTTTAAACAGACCATTCGGTCCAGTGCTTATTCTACAGTGCCACACCAGGACTCCTCAGAAATAATTAGAACTCTGAATATAGGATTTTAGTTTCAATGATAATGTAGGAAGTAGAATAATTTCCCAGCAGTGTGCAGATTGGTGTATAGTATTCTCCTTTTGGATAACATGACTTCTCCTCTGTTTTATGATCGTAAGCCTATCCAGCGCTTCAAGCCATGCCTCTATCACCTATAAACAGTCTTCTTTTATTAAAATCTCACAGCTTTGAAACCATATTGGAGACTATCCTAAGGGCAATGTTGGAATCAGCTGCTATGAAAGTGATTGGATAGACTTAGCTCATCCTTTCATTCATTTTTGCTACACTGCCCATAGCTCATGCCTTCCCCTCACCTCTTCTGACTTAGAGTTAGAATTTGATGGAGAGGTTTCTGGGTAGCCTCACCTATTGGGTGCGCTCTCTGTTGATTTAATGAGTTTGTGGGTTTCTCTGCCCTGCTGTGTTTCACTATCAATCTGTTCTCACCTGTCTTCCAGGAAAAGTTTCATTGCTCTGATCTGCTCACTGGAATTGTGGGAGGGAGAAAAGGGTGACATTTGTATTCGATCTGTTATCCTGAGCTGAAGGCTTGTGGTGTTCGGCTTCTGCCATCCTCTTACTTACATTTGATTTCTCATGGTTGTTCTCTATGTTCCTTACCCACGTAGACCCAGGACTCAACCATTTTACCTTGATTCCCCTCAATTGCTCATCCCTCAAAAACAAACAAATAATCCAAAACAACAAGTCGATAAAGGAACTTTGTTGAAAGTTTGATGGAAAAAGATGTGTAGGCTGAAGAAGGTGTTACATTTTGGTCATATTTAAGTAACTCAAATATTACATGAGAATATTCCAAAAAGAAAAAATAAAAGCAAACCTACTGCCATCCAGTTGATTTCAACTCATAGCAAATTTATAGGCTAGAACAGAACTTCTGGTTAAGGGTTTCTGAGGTTATAGAGCTTTAGGGAGCAGGCAACCTCACCTTTCTCCTGCAGAACGACTGCTTGGTTTGAACTGACAACCTCATTGTCATTTTGTTGTTGTTGTTGTTAAGTATCATGAGTTCTGATTGTTGTTGTTGGTGTTAAGGGCTGTCGAGTCAGCTCTGATCCATAATGACCCTGTATAGAGTTTCAGAGGAGCGGCTGATGGATTTGAACCACCAACCTTGCATTTCAAACTGACCTTGCTGTCCAGTGCATTATGCTGGAGCTCCACACCAGGACTCCCAGTTCTGAGTAAAGATCGTTAACATCACTCAGCCACTTTGCCATTAATGATTCTCATTGGCCACCATTCCTAGAGTCCAAGCTTCTCATCATGTTTGAGAGTCTTATCACTTCTTTTTGTAGGTGTTTCTTGTCCCCCTATTGAGTTTTCTTTCAAAGAGTAGGCATTTTTGTTTATTACTGCCTCCTCACAGACTATATCCACAAAGTCTCACCTCCCTTACCCCTAAAGAGAACATTGTCTTTCAAAATGTTTCCTAAATAATTCTTACCCTTAGAGCAAGGGTGAAGAACCTTTTTTCTGCTAAAATTTGCCAGTGTCATTCACAGGCCTTACAAAATTATTAACTTAAAATTTAGCCTGCCATATTTGGTCAAATATTTAATTAATTCACCCCAAATGTGAATGCTGTGTTTCTCTGCTATTCATAAGATTTTCAGTGACTAAATATTCGGAAGTAGTGTGTCACTCCTTCTTCCTAGTCTGTCTTCGTCTAGAAGCTCATCTGAAACCTGTCCACCATGGGTGATCCTGCTGGTATTTAAAATACCCGTGGCATGGTTTCCAGAATCACAGCAACTCACAAGCTGACAGACAAGTGGTGGAAACTTGAATGGTCTAAAATTAAGAAAGGTATGTGACAAGGTTGTATTCTTTCACCATACTTAGTCAACCTGTATGCTGAGCAAATAATCTGAGAAGCTGGGTTATATGAAGAAAAACATGGCATCAGGATTGGAAGAAAACTCATTAACAACCTCATTAACAATATGCAGGTTATACAACCTAGCTTGCTGAAAGTGAAGAGGACTTAAAATATTTACTGATGAAGATGAAAGAGCACAGCCTTCGGTATGGATTGCATCTCAATGTAAAGAAAATAAAAATCCTCACCACTGGACCAATAAACAACATTCTTATCAACGGAGAAAAGATTGGAGTCAAGAACTTCATTCTTCTTGGATCAACTAGTCAACACTCATGGAAGCAGCAGTCAAGAAATGAAATGACGTATTGCATTAGGCAAATCTGCTGCACAAGACCTTTTTAAAGTGTTGAAGAGCAAAGATGTCAGCTTGAAGACTAAGGTGAGCCTGAACCAAGCCATAGTATTTTCAATAACCTCATATGCATGTGAAAGCTGGACAGTGAATAAGGAAGACCATAGAAGAATTGATGCATTTGAGTTATGGTGTTGGAGGAGAATTCTGAAAGTGCCATGGGCTGTCAAAAGAACCAACAGATCCGTTTGGGAAGAAGTGCAGCCAGAGTGCTTCAGGGAGGCCAAGATGACCAAACTTTGTCTCTCATACTTTGGACATATTGTGAGGAGGGACCCGTCTCTGGAGAAGGATATCATGTTTTGTAAGGTGGAGGGTCAGAGAAAAAAAGGAAGACCCCCAGCAAGATGGATTGGCAAAGTGGCAGCATCAATGGGCTCAAATATGACAACAATAGTGAAGAAGTTGGCCCAAGATCAGGCATTGTTTCGTTCTGCTGTGCATAAGTGTCTCTATGAGTTGGTACTGACTCGATGGCACCTAACAACAACAATGTGATTGCTGGAGTCCTGATATAGTACTATGGGTTAATGCGCTGGATTGCAAAGTCAGTTTGAACCACAGGTCAGCAGTTCAAGCTCACCAGCTTCTCCTTGGAATTCCTATACAGGGTCACTATGGGTTGGAACTGACTTGACTGGTGGCATTCAACAACAACAACAATGTGATGACTATGGAGTCCTTGTGTGGTGCTATTGGGTAAATGCAGGACCACAAGGTCAATTTGGACCTCAAAGTCGGCAGTTCAAACTCACCAGTCATTCCTTAGAAACCCTACGCTGGGTTGCTATGGGTCAGAACCGAGTTGATGGCACTTAATAACAACAAACTTAATGACTGGAGTCCTGGTGTGGTGCTGCAGGTTAATATACTGGTCTGCAAGGTCAGTTTGAACCACAAGTTTGGCAGCTCAAGCTCACCAGCAACTCCTTGAGAACCTTATACAGGGTCTCTATGAGTTGGAACCAACTCTATAGCACTTAACAGCAAGTGTGGTGCATGGACTCCTGATGTGGTGTTGCAGAATTAGCCCTGAACTGAAACCACAAGGTCTGCAGTTCAAATCCACCAGCTGCTCCTTGGAAGCCCTATACAAGACCATAAGAGTCACACTGTTTTGGCAACACTTAGCAACAATGACTGAAACTATGGCTGCCTTGGCAGGACTAGACCAAATGATTTTCAGGGCCTTATATAGCCCACAGGCCAGACATTCTCCAACCTTGCTTAGAGCAGTAGCTTGTGAAGTAGTTAAAATAATATATTTCAGTTTTTCTACATGACAGATTTTCAAATATTGGAAATTATATACCCTACTCCATCTTTTTCTTCTTATTGAGTTTCTGGATATAAAAAAGGATATCATGTGAGCTATTTTCCATTCTTAGTGATTTTTCAGTTACAAAAGCAAAAGAAATTAGCTTTGTTTTAAAGTCACTATGAATCAGGTTTTCTGTCACTTGGGGCAGAATCCTAATGGATACTGCACTATATTATAATGAAATACAGTGTTATCATCGTTTTTGTCATTAGTAAAATAGACAATCATTTGGTCAAAATTTAAATGTTTTGTCACTTACAATGGAAATACTTATGTATATACTAAAAAGTGTCTTTCATCATTAAGTAGAGTATACTCAAAAATGTTCTTGATGCTTGGTGCATCATACTCAGCATAATTTCTTAGTGTAGGATAAGTACTGGATTACCAATTTTATGGTTAGTAGTTCCAACCCACCAGCTGCTCAGTAGGAGAAAGACGAGGCTGTCTACTCTCAAAAAGATTTACAGTCCCCGAAACCCTATAGAGTTGCTATGAATCTGAATCAACGTAATGAAAGTAGATTTTATACCACAAAGGCCTTGAGGTCTTTGAGTAACTACAATTGCCCTACTATTCAATGGATCCAGAGTACTGAGATTTTTTGGATTTTGTGTATTTAATTGGCTTTAGTTTTGTAGTTGTTAAGTGACTTGGAGTCAGTTCTGACTCATAG